ATGTGCAAAAAGATGCAACAGCAGAAGTCCCATTAAATAAAGTCTGTGAGTATGTTTCATTTATGCTATTATTAATCATTATGTCAATTATCGATAATAGTAAGTTGTATATTTTCAGGCATGCAACTGGGCATTCTTATACAGCTCTCTTTTGAGTACTTGTTCTGAATTTTGAAGTAGTTTGGCTCTTTGGTTTGAAAAGGCTGGAAGACCAAAAATAAAAAGCTTTTCTAAATACAGTGGGGATGGAATCATAGAATAATAGGACTGGAAGGGACCTCGAGAGGTCATCGAGTCCAGCCCCCCGCCCACAAGGCAGGATCAAGCTCCGTCTACACCATCCCTGACAGATGTCTATCTAACCTGTTCTTAAATATCTCCAGAGAGGGAGATTCCACCACCTCCCTTGGCAATTTATTCCAATATTTGACCACCCTGACAGTTAGGAATTTTTTCCTAATGTCCAATCTAAACCTCCCCTGCTGCACTTTAAGCCCATTACTCCTTGTCCTGTCCTCAGAAACCAAGAGGAACAAATTTTCGCCTTCCTCCTTGTGACACCCTTTTAGATATTTGAAAACTGCTACAGACTATATTGTGTTAGGCTAATTTGGGGATTTCTCAAAATCCAGCATGCATCAGCAGTTTGGGACTATACCACATGCAGCCACAAGAGAGATACAGTTTAGTGCAGAAACGCTAGGCTTCCTATGCTTAGTGGACTACCTTGGTGGCATTACCTTCGCAGCTTTCCTGAGAGTATGTTGAAGCTTTACAGACATTACACTAAATGGCACTGTGTACATCATTACTCTCTTCTTACAAAAAGGAGCAACTGAAGGACAGGGAATTAAGTGATTGCTCAAAGTCACATAGCAAGTTAGAGGTACAGTTAGGAAAAGAAACTAAATGTCACATGTCTCAGTTCTGATTTCTCACCACAAGAGAACATGGCCTCCGATTTCTCAATCTTGGAACTATCTGTGACAAAGGAGGCCCTGGATGAAGGGACTCGCCAATTCCACACCTGACACTAACAGGCTTAACAATACAAACCTTAAAAAGCACACCCAGAACAGCTCTAAGTGCCAGAACCCACCACTCAATATTGGCAGTTTATATTTAATCCAGGAATTTCTTGGGATAGGCCTAAATTTGGGAGTCAGGCTAGAGCTGTTGAGTTGTTTAGATTAAGGATGTTCAAGACTAGCTGTCTAGTCGATTCTGCGCCCCCCCCCCCCCCCCCCCCCCGGGAAGAGGAGGTACTTCAAAGGGCAGCACTCAGCTGTGCAGTGTTCAAAGGGGTAGCATCTCACAGCTGATCCCAGGCTCTGCACAACTGACTCTGGGTTCTGGGGAAATGCCACGCGGAGCCCACGGCCAGCCGATCTCAACTCTGCGTGGCATTTCAAACGGGCAGCGCAGCATGGAGTCTGGGGTCAGCGGGGAACTCAGAATCCCCCCTGCGCTGCCGCTTTGAAATGCATAAAAGCCCCCGCTGGGCACGGGCTGCACACGGTGTCCCCAGCGGGGGCTCTGGTACATTTCAAAGAAGGAATGCAGAAGTGCCTATCGACTAGTCGAGTAGTTGATGGAAATTCCATCGACTACTCGCCTAGTAAATTAACCACAATTTAACATTCTTAGTTTTGATCCTTTCTAGCTCCAACTGCTTTGACTAATCATTCACATTAATCTTTTTTGGGCAGGTACAGAAGAAGAAATCAGGTTATTGTTTTATCAGGTGACACAAAGATGAAACATAAATAGTATCCAACATCAAACACCAGTGAACTCTAAATTCAACCTGGGTTTTCCTAAACCAGTCTTGATTTCTATTTTGTGTGTATACAGATAAGACATGGATTTAACACTTTGCATTCAGTTTTGTTTCTACTGACTCATGAAATGGGTTAGGAGAGTATTTTCAAAACATCCTAAAATATTGGGAACCTAAACTCCATAGAAATTTAATTATCCAAATCCTTTTGGGCTCTTTGAAATCCCACCTTACAATGTATATTTATTTACCCACTTTTACTGTCCTAGCAATACAAAATAGAAAAAAGAAGTTCCCACATTTAGAAGTGAGACTTTCAAAGGCACTAAAGGCAGCCACAGCTAGGCCCCCAACTCCCATGGAACTGAGGCACCTAACTCCTTTTTATGCCTTTGCAAAGCTCCCCCATCATTTCCAAACTGGGGCCAAAGAGGAATACACACATTCTCTGCTGAGTCCTAGTGCACAGGAGCCTATATTGTTTTTTGTTTCTTCGTTCGTTTTTTTAACCAGGGGAAGGCTGTTATTTCAAAAGTCTACAAAATTCAAATTAGGTAACATCTGTCAGGAATAATTAGAAAGGTTGGTGTATGTTCTTTTGATGGTTTGGCAGAAATAGGGATGTTAAAATTAGACTAATCAACTAATCAAATAGTCGACTGAGCCAGGCAGCGAGGCTGAGGTGAAATAGGTCTGTGCTGGGGCTGAGGCTTAGGCAGTAATCAATACAATGGCCTTCGGTTGATGTGTGTTTTAGTAGTTAAATTGCTCAACTGTCATTGCTCATTGAAAGTGCTGTCATATGGGTGGAAACTGGGTAAATGTTGCATTTTATTAATATCAGCAGAACTGACTTAAATGGGGCCTGCGTGTTGTGTAGTCTTGCCTTAATCTTTGTATTCATGCCCATCCCTGTGAAATAAGCTATTTGCATAGATTTGCAGCCGCGGTTAAATTGCGGCCCTCGGCATGTGCTCTGGGTATCATTGTGGCCCCCAGGGCTTCCAAAGTTGAGTAGCCCTGACCTACAGTATGTTTTGAGATCAGGAGTCTGAGAAAAGCTACATACGGTCACACAACTAATTAAACAGAACTCTCAGAAACTGGAACTCTGATGCCTAAATACTTTGGGCTTAACTAAGCCCAGAATTATACCACCTCCCTGCACCCCAGTCTGGCAGGAGCAGCATGCCGCAGGTGGGGGAGCAGCCCTCACCCATGGAAGGGAAGGCTGCACCAGCCCCTCCTCCCCCCCCCCCCAGCAGCCCCTCTCCCTGTTTAACCAGGTAACTGATTAAACAGGTTTTTATCCCTAAAACAAGCCCATACATGGGTGGGAGGAAGACTGTAGTGTAGATACTGACATAATTAGGTTGACTTAATCCGCCCTATGTTGACCTAAGTGCGTACTAGTCCAGCCCTTTGTCTCACAATGTAACTTTAATAGTAATTATGAATTAATACACTGTGTGTAGTCACAAATCTGGTTGCAATTCAGTATCCAAGCCGTGAAATAAAACACTAGATGGGAGGTTAGACGGGTCTTTGTTCTATTGTAAAAGGTTCTGCTATGTAGGATGACTAAGTCTGTCTGCTACATAACTATCTGCTTAGGTCAACAACATTTAATGTTCCTACTCTTCTGTGGTTATTTGCAGACTCCAGTAGTGGTGAAGACAACAGATTGTTCAAATGCAAGTTCCATGTTTGCTTGAACTTCCTCACATAATAAAACAATTATTTAGAAGAAAAAAAAACCCTTCACAAAGAAGGTCAGACTTTCTATCACTGAAGAAAATCAATGTAGTTTGGTTACAATAATTTACTGAGCCATTCAAGGCAAGCATTTTAGCAAGCTATTATGAGACCCCACCAGCTGGATTGAACCACACCCTTTGCAAGGAACAGTGCAAGTTGAAAATCAAACCTTGATCAATTCACAAAAAAGAGGCTCTGTATTTCTCTCTCAAACATCTAAGATTATGGAGAAACTCAACAAATATTTGTATAGATCAAAACCTCAACACAATGTCCACACAATACTTTTATTTTTCTAACTAAAGCAATCAGAATCTTTTAAATTCTCTTGATTTTACTGGACAAACTTTTCTGAGTGTATTATTTGCTTGGCAGTACTTGTTAACTTCTCTCCCGCAGCATTGACTAACAAAGTGACAAAAGCGCCTCTTAGTCAATAAGTTTCAAAATTTCAAAACAAAAACATTAATCATTGCCAGTGAAAGAAAGAGATGCCAATTTTAAAAGTCACTGAATTATTCACTAGCCAAACTGTTAGCACACTGAAGTGAGGGGAGAAAACAAGCAAATTATGACTGAAATGAGCTCACAAGGAAAGTATTTCTCCCTCAAGGATGTTAACCTCAAATGTGCCTTACAAACTTTTACAAAAACCGCTGACACACATCAAGACTAAGGGACATTCAGAGTTTTTATGTTAGTTCACTTTTGTACACACACAAGTCATTGTTTGTTAGTAAAACACGTGTATTCATCCAACTATTTCACTTTTGTGCATACATAAATCCTTCTGTTAGTAAAATGCGAACCTAAACATAAAATTCATTTTCAGACACTTATAAACACACTTACAGACATGCAACAGAGGGGCACAGAAATCCAGAGATTAGCATCTCCTTCCCCTTTTTATAAAAATCTCTTGTTTGTATCACACCACCAAGTGGAGACAGTGCAAGTTGCCAATAAAGAATGAGAGAGTATTTGTATACTAAGCTATGAAATCTCTCCATGTCACCATCTGTTGCTCATTTATAATGTATTTTAATTTTGTGGTTGCCATATATGATTAAATATGAGGGGTGTACACGTGTATATACTTTTTAAAATAGATACTAAAAATATTTCCATGTAACGCAGAGAAATACTGCAGGGCATATCCTACCAATGTAACATTTCAACACTACAATTATAAAAAAAAAAGTTTATCACTTATACATTAAGTCCAGCATTCACCATTATAATTTTAATGGAAACTTTTCAGAAACTGTTCCCGCTTTAACACGGGTATACAGGACTTTTGCATCAAGCTTTACTTAAAAAAAGCACAAAAACAAAACAGAAGAAGTGGTTTTGAATTTTGCTAGAAAAATTTGTATCTGCAAATCTGGCTTAAAGACTTAGACCATAGATTCAGAATATTATTTTAAGGGCATGTAAAACACGACACACAACGTTTTCTTACCTATTTGGTCTTCTGGAATCAGTGATTCAATGGGGGGATCCAGTTCAGAGCTTTGGGACAAATAGTTCTTCACTTGTGTCATGAACTGCCGAATTGTCTGCAACATGTCAGTACTGGAAACATGGCATTCCTTATTCTCCTGGAGAAAGCTGACATAGTCCTGCACCAAGCACCCAAAATAAGTGCGCTTGTCCTGGGACATCTCTGCAATTTTCTTGATCATCCTCTTTTCGGGAGTCATGAAGGAACTGAACACTCCACTTACTTTCCTCAGCTGGGATTTCACAATCTTGGGGAGAACAAATGAACTGTGCCGTTTCTTTTTGGGCTTCAAAGGGGGTGCCATGCTTTCCTGGTCACTTTCCCCTTCAAAGTCCTCCAGACTGCTGTTAGTGTCCCCTTCATAGCCAAACAACGGCATGCTCCGATCAAAGTCCAGCGAGTCAGAGGAGGAGGTGGAAATGCTCATGTCGCTCAGTCTCTGCCTGCCTCCATTCCACGGTACTTGTGACTCAGAGTTTGCAGCCAAGGTTTTTCTGCAAGCAGCTAAATTTTGCTCACACAGAGCTTCACCTGGAATGCTAACAGCTTCTGACCCACACACTGAGTTATGACTAGATCGAATTACTTCCAAGGTCTTTGCATTACCTTCCCCTTCTAAGCAAACAGCCTGCTTCTTCAGACGCGGAGGCGGAATAGGGGTTGGTTTCTTCTGCAGCAAATCCAAGTTCCTATGTTTGTTATGGTTGACTGTTCCTGGCATGCTCGCCTGCTTTATAGTCCTGGAGAGCTGCGGACTTGTGAGAAGGCTATTAATAGAAGGTGGCGGAGGTCTGGGTGGGGGGGAGCGAGGCCTCTCTGTGCCATTCACATCTTGAGTTCTTGGGCTCTGCCTTTTCAAACTTCCACTAACATCCTGGCTGTGCACTTTTAAGAAGAGAGGATTAATAAAACACAAGGCTCCGTTGGTCTGGCTACACTCCAGCTCCGAAGGCGTTCTGGTTCTTATAGAATGCACTCCATTTATAAGGCAGAGCTGACGTGAGTCTTTGGAGGCATTGTCTGAGGGCAGAGGCCTACGGGGAGGTGAAGGATTTGGGGGGCTCTTGTTAGCCGGAGAACTCCAAAAATCTGAAAATCATTATTGTGTTAACATAAACATTTAAATATTATGCAGATGGCTTTCAGAACATTCAACTCAATAGAACAATGCTGAAGCATGGAAAACTTAGGCAAGCTTAAAAAAAATTCTTAAATGAGCCTCAGAAAACACTGCCAGACAAAACTAAATGCTAAACATGTAGGCTGCAGCTATGTGTCTACAGAGTTTATAAATATCTTGGCCAATATGAATCTTCATAGGAGACTTTGCAGCTAAATTTGCAAGTAAATTGGGATATACAGAAAAAAGGATTGCTATAAAGTATCCATTCTTCCTGTATTGAGACTGAAATAGACTCTGATCTAATATTCAGCACCTTGACTAAAAAAGAAGAGCCAGATTTTCAGCTTGTGATAATGAGCACTAACCTCATACACAGAAGATTAGACCCCTGGAATCTGGGGGGGAATACTATATTTTCATTTGGTGTTTTTAAAAAAAAAAAAAAAAAAAAAAAAAAAAAAAAAAAAAAGCTATGCACGAGGTTGGAATCCGTTTTTGTTCCTTGCCAGATACTATCTTTAGCCATGCTGATCAGGCATTCGTGTCTTTAAGTGTTTCAACTTGCAGCTGTGCACTGGTAATTACACAATTTCTTTGAGGTTTTAAGATAATCAGCAGCACATAAATAGATTGAATATGCAGGGCCATCAGCAAAAAGTATGAAAAAAATCTGTACAAACTTGACAAATCATAACTGCAGTGTCCTCATAGCCCCAGTAAAACATCTGAGAAAGTCTATGGAAATCAGACACTAGTTCCTTCACCAATCCCATGGACTCCTACAAACTATATTACAGGTGTTCAACATGCTTCAGCTTGCCTAGCACAAAAATGAAATAATCAGACAAAAATTCAGACACTAACTTGACAGCTATGTTCAAAAACTGTTTAGATATTTATATGGCCCCTATGATCACACAGGGGAGTGTCTCACACACAAATGGATTTAACATAAGAATGGCCATACTGGAACAGCCAAAGGTCCACCTAGCCACATATCCTGTCTTTCAACAGTGATCAATGCCAGGTGTTTCAGAGGGAAGGAACAGAGCAGGCAATCATTAAGTAATCCATCCTGTCACTCATTCTCAGCTTCTGGCAAAGGGAGGCTAGGAACACCATTCCTGCCCATCCTGACTAATAGCCACTGATAGACCGACCCTCCAAGAACTTTTCTAGTTCTTTTTTGAACCCTGTTAGTGTCTTGACCTTTACAACATGTTCTGGAAAGGAGTTGCACAGGTTGACTGTGGGTTGTGTGAAGATATACAGCCTTTTATATGTTTTAAACCTGCTTCTTATTAATTTCATTTGGCGGCCCCTAGTTCTTCAGTTCGGAGAAGGAGTAAACAAGACGTTCTTCAATTTTTCCCTCACAACCACTTGTGAGGCAGTGAAATGCTATTAACCCCATTTTACAGATGGGAAACTGAGGCAAAGGCACACTAATTCTATCTGAAGTAAGTGGAAGTTGAAAGCACTCAGCATCTTTCCAGATCTGGTGTATTTACGCAAGAGCAGACTTTGGCTCAGTAAACTTCTGTGTGCTCTTCCTTAGTACAATGACTTGCACTGTAACACGTCTCGAGCATCACAGGATTTTACTCAGCAATGAGCCTCTGAGGCGGCTCTGGGTTTTAATTTTGCACCAGTAACTGGTCACTGAGGTAAGTCAAAAGCACAAGACTGCAGCCAGGCTATAGAGCATACGCTCTCGTGGGGATGTCCGTCAGGTGCGTGCACCCAAACAAGGGCATGGTGAGGTGGGTTGGGGTGTCGTTGGAATCTCAGCCCCTTGTACACCTGATGGCAAGAAGTACTAGAGGAGTCTGGCCAAAGGAGGTATAAATGCCATTGTTCACAAGCTCTCCAGCATTTTCTCACACAGATTTATTGTTGTGTGTCTCGTGCAGATAAAAGACCTGAGAGCACCACTGCTTGGTTGCTGCAAATCTGCTCAACACCAGGCCAATATTCAATTTCTGTCAGGTTTCACTTCTGCTTTAGGCTCAAGGCACATTTTGGGATGTGCCCATATTTGTTTTAGCAGTGGAACATGCAGTTTCTAGGGACATGACCCTGCTCCTTCCTCCACCCCATTTGAAAATACTCATCATACCAATGTGAATACATTTACTTAGAGGTGGTTTTACTTGTGTTTGGATCAGCACACCTCTGAACAGTTAAGTCCTAAATTGCTTTGTAGACATAAGCATGTGCTAATCCAAGTACAGAGATTGCTCAGAATGAGTTTCATTTACAATTTTCCAGCAATTACCAAACTCAGAGCTATGTTGTACAAGCCAATAACTGTCATCCCACCTTCAGTAGCACGGGTTCGAGCCTGCAATGCATGTGGGGCTGCACCAAACCCTGCTCTCAGGATGATGAGAAAGGATTTGGATCAGCATGCGGTGTTCTGTGGAACAGTGTGCACACAGCTAGCTGGAAAATAGGAGGCAGCAATGTAGCAAATCAAATCACAGAGGCTCATCCGCAGGATAGGAAGGTAACCCAGTGCTACTGGGTGGGACAATTGTTATTACACTTAACAAAATCTTCTTTTAAAAAAAAATGAATGGAGCCAAATTTACTTTTTTTTTGCACAAGTATGGATACGGTTACAATGATTCAGGGCAATAACCCTATGTAAATAATCATACTTACTCAGTCCCAGCTGAGCAATGTCTTCAAGTTGGGCCTCTGTCTTTGCTGCTGCAATAGCATGGGGCAATTTCAAGGTGAATGGCAGGACATCTCTTGTTTTGAAAGAAAGAGTAGTATTGGAAATTTTTGTGGTTATTTCCATATTTTAATTTTTTCATTATTTCTAGCATGTGCAATGACTACAAGTCAGATTCACACTTACACCAAAACCACTTTGAACTGCTCTGGCAGTTTAAAGGAGCCATAACGTGAGTTTAATGTAATCAACCATCCTTTAAGTCCAAGTATAAAAAGACATTAGTGTAAATGAGAACCAGGCCCTCAATGTTTCTTTCTTCTACACTCACTCTCCCTGTCCACCCTCTTTTACAGTTAATATAGCAGTAGCTTTTCCACTGGTCTGTCAAGCATGTGTCTGATTACTAGAAAACAAACAAACAAACAAACAAACAAACAAACACCGAAGTGTCCTGCAGCACCTTAGAAATTAACAAAAACGTAGATGGTATCAGGAGCCTACCCAAGAAAGCTCATGATACCATCGACATTTTTTATTACTCACAAAGGTGTTGCAAGACTATTCGGTGTTTTTTACTTTTTTTCAGTTCCAGACTAACATGGCTACCGCTCTGAAACATCTGATTACTGAAACAGTCATCTGCCCAAATCAGCAATTTACCCCAAATTTCTATTGGTGAACAACAATTGAGTTTTGTTCCAATTTAATCTCCAGTTTTTAAAATGAGTCTGAATGAGGATTTAGGACAGAAAACACAGAAATGCTTGTAAACGCTCATATATTAGAGCCACTTTGCCAGTTTGAAAATCTAGTCCGAACATATATTCATTCCAATAAATACAGCTACCTTCACACTACTGTCATCATATCTCTTTTCTATACAATAGATATTAAATGATAAATGGGTTTTTACATATGGGACTCCAGAGATTGTGCCTGAACTACAAGTCATATCCACTGGATAAATCCTTTTAAAACAAGGACTTAAGAATTGCTTTGCCTAAGTACTTTGTGTAAGCATTTATAATATTTTATACATTATCTCTTTTCTGCCCACTTGTTTATAGTTGGTACCAATGGATTCACAAACCCCAGAGTCTGGAAAATCATAAAAGTTGTATTAGAAGTACTTAATGTAATGAGAGTAAGCAAATAAGAACTGGCCATGTAGCAACCATGTCTACACACACTTCTATTTTACATTTAGCTACAGCTAGTGTCAAATAGGGATGTTAAATTTTGAGTGACTGACTATTCAATTAGTCTATAGGGCACTTCCACCTTTGAAGTGTAGCAACAGCCCTAGGGCTGTTGCTACACTTCAAAGGTGAAAGAGCCACATGGAGTCCAGGGGTTAGCTGGGGACTCCACTAACCCGGAGCTCCATGTGGCGCTGCCGCTTTGAAATGCCGTAGGGAGTCTGTCATCAAGCTCCACACGGAATTCCAAAGCGGCAGCGCCGCACAGAGCCAGGGGTTGGTGAGGGAGTCCCCAGCTGATCCCAGGCTCCACGCAGGGCTGCCACATTGAAGTATCCCCTTTTATCCCCCCCTTGCTGCCTCTCTTTCTGATGGAGGCAGCGGAGGGGAAGAGTGACTAGTCATTCACATCCCTAGTGTCAAATATAGAGGTAATTTATTTTCAAAATTGTAAGCACGTTGAGCATCTGGTGCAACACAAACAGCTCTTTGATCACTGAATTACCATATTTTATGTTTACTCTCTCAAAAATCAGTAACAGCAAACTCCAAACCGATTAAAATAAAAAATATACAGAGCAAGTTGACACACTAACTAACACTAACAAGCGATTGAAAGGAAACTGTCAACATCTCCATGGGACAAAATCTGAACTCCATTTTAATTGGGGTAGAAGGTCTCCTAAATATATTGGGTGAAATTCTGACCCTTCTCATCGCTATGGCAAAATTTCAATTGATTTCACGAAGACATAGGTTTCACCCACAAGCTGGGATTCTCAAAAGGGCCTCAGGAAATCAGGGCCCCAAATCCTACTGAATTTCAGTGGGACTTTGGCTCCACTAACTTTGTTTTTTTAATTCTCCATTCTAGTCAAAAATCTATTCTGTGTTTTGTTTGAGACACTACGTGATGCTGTGTGTTCCCTCTGCTGCTCTGTCACAGTCACTCACTACAGCTCCCCCCAGAACTGTGCATATTCTAACAGTCCAGACGATGCCAAGACAAAAGCCTCAAGAAGGATAGGAAATAGAACTGGACTGGCTCCTGCTGCCTGAGAATGACTTCAGATGAGCGTGTCCTTATAAACGTGCAGTAGCGGTATTTGGAAGAGTTACAGCTATGTCTGGCTTTGCATCATCCTTCTGTTTTCTCTTTTGTCTTTCGTTGCATGAAGGGGAAGAAGCAGGGCTGCAAAATTGGCATACAGTTGTACGGACAGTGCAGTCTTGCATCCACCTTAGAATTGTTCTGCCAGGAACTTCAATGTAACTGCTGGGCCTTAACTGGAGACTCAGGCTCAGCCTTACTCCAAAGAAAAATTAATATAAAGCCCCACACGGAAAATTAAAAGCCACTTTGTAGAAATGGTATTTTAAACAGAGTCTGAATGGGGATGAAACAGAAGATCTTTCATTGCTAGGTTGCCAGTTTTGATCCAGTCCGGCTCAGTCAGGTGCTGTTCAGTTACCTACATGAACGAGCTGGTCTTTACTGTGAGCATCTCTACCAGCAGTGGGCAATAAGCAGCCCACGGGCAGGACGCAGTTAACCGGGGTTAGAGCTTCTGCAGGTCCAGCCACTTGAAACTCCCATTTGCCGCATATTGCCGTTCCCAGCCTTGGGAGCTGCAGAAAGCAGCGGCAGGGGAAGGAAGTGATGTCCCTGGGAGACATGTGCATTTGCAAACGCTAGGGATTAAATAGGAGGGGCCAGGGCAGGTGACTCACACCTCTGTAGTACCAAGACCAGGCACGTAGGAAGCCTAAAGTGAATGCTGCTTTGTGGCAAGGGAAGAGAGTGACTCCCATCTCCTCCTCCAGCCCTTTCTCAATGAAGATGGGGAAGGGGGGAGCACAGAGCGAAAGACTCCTCAGCATAGGTTATTTTCTGCTTGCAGCCGAGCTCAATGCCTAGGGGAGTGGTTTGCAAACTTTTTTCTCATGATCCAGTTACAGAAAATTGTTGATGCCCCCAACACAAAATGATTTGACTAGAGTGTGGGCCCTGGGGTGGGGCTGAGGAGGAGAGCTTTGGGGTGTAGAAGGGGAAACCAGCTTTGTGGGGGTGTCAGGGCTGGGGCAGCGGAGCAGTAGGGGGCTAAGACAGCTTCCTGCCTCTCCTGGCACCGCAGACTAAGCTGCCCCCCAGAAGCAGCCGGCAGCAGGTTCCCAGCCAATGGGAGTGTGGAGCTAGTGCTCAGGGCAGGGGCAGACCACAGAGCCCTGGATGCTCTCCCCTCCCCTACTTAGGAGCCAGGCCTTTTGCTAGCCACTTCTGGGGCACAGCGCAGTGCGCAGTGCCAGCACAGGCAGGTAGCTGCCTTAGCCCCCCCACTGGTCTCTTGACCCCCCTGCAGCAACCAGCCCCAGTGCCTGACATTCTACCACCCAGTGCGGGGTCGCAACCTGCAGTTTGAAAACCCCTGGCAGCAGCTGTCCCGAGAGTCAACACTGAAGAGGGATGGTGGAGTTGACAAGTTACTCTCCTGTTTGAATCAGGCGAGGTCTTCACTCACTGGAGGAATTAGCCCACCATCTTCCCACAATCACAGCAGCATAAGCACATCCATCAGGGAAGAAAAACAGAAATGGCATTTCAGGTAGGCATTTCAGGTCTTAGTCCATGCCCAAGGCAGGGTCAAAAGGTGATGTGATTGCTCCAGGCATGCAGGATACGTGACATCACCTACACTGGCTCTACCCACAGAAGCAGGATCACCCAATAAACTGCAAAAGTGGGGATTTGTGGTTCACTGAAAAAAAATTATCAGAGAGGTTCTGAGACATGCTCAGATCAGCATCTTTTGATCCTTTGTTAGTCAATGCCATGTAAGATAGTGGGTAACAAGAACTCTTTGTTTTCTTAGCTCTAGTTCATGCGCTTATTTAGCCAGTTATCCTCCAAAACAGTCTGTTAATATTTATCGATTAGCAATATTTATACTAGACTAGGCTTATACTTGATGTGGCAGGCAGTCTAGGTAATTAGCCAAGCCAAGAAATCAATGGAAGTCAACCCTACCCAATCTTGCCCTTGGCTAAAGATGATGATGATGACCATTTATATCGTATTTAATCAGAAAATCTTTACGGGCAGTAACTCAATTTAAGGAAGGTCTAGCAAACGCTACTCACAACATAACATAATACAATCTTACCTGCTAATACAGTAGAAAGCAATGAGCCTGAATAAATCAGCAAAACTTATTCCAGAGCCTTCCAAAGAAAAGGCTGCAAAGAAAGATTATGAAAAAACAGATCAGTCTTCCCATGCATATCCCAAGAAACCAGGCTTAATATAAACACACCTGGCTTTTGCACAGTGTAAGTAGCAAGGAGTTTACAGCATCAAACTAACTGCTGTTTAGTTAATCAAAACCAACTGTGCAGAACAGCATGTGTTTCAGTCAAAACATTCTAGTAAACATACTGATCGCGTGGACAGTGGGTTTGTTTTTACATTCCAAACATGTCCTAATCCTTGGAAAATTAAATCAAAAGAGATTACAATTGCACAACTTCTAACAGAACAGCCAGTCAACAACAGAGACCTTGTGTTATTCATCGTACTAATATAGACAAAAAATGTCAATGAAAAAACTCTTTTTCTTTCCTTTCTCTTGGCACCCGTCCTTCCAATTTTTTTGCCTCAATTACATTAGCAGCAACACCAGTAACCACTGATAAGGAGAGGTGGCAAATCTATGAATCATTTCCCTTTTCATACAGCTCTCCAACCAATTCATCCTAATGCTTTGTGAAAGTTGTTACAAATTGTTAAGCTAAATAATTTTTTAAAATAAAGTGATACTAAAACTTTTCTAAAAATGCAAACACTTACTTTAAATTCACAGAAATAATAAAGACCTTTACAATGTAATTTTCAAAATGATTCTGTATTGATATCAATATACATTTACAGATCATAGATATACAAATACAAGCTAGTGCAACTCCACTGACTTCAAGCTCGGAAGCAGCCATTCCTGTCAGTAGCAAATGTCACTCTAGTAAAGAAGCCATGTAAATAAAGACTCGAGGGAATGGTAATGGATAAACATAAAAAAGAAAAAACCTCAAATTACCAACAGACACTGTAGAAAGCTTAGGTCCGGATAGCTTTTCCTTCACAGATCATTCCTGAGGACAGCAGCTTAGCTGAAACTCTGTTGCTAAATTTCAATTCCAGTTTTGAACATGTTAAGATAACCCCCTTGTTCTATCTGCAGCTTTCAAAATGTGCTATTATCTGAGGCAGCAGCTTTTATATGCAGTTCTTCCTAGAACTCTTTTTCACTCTCTCTTTTCACAGAAATTGCTACAGTTTTGTTCTGAAGCTTACTGGAACCCCGCCATTGTTTTATTTCTGGTAAATAAGATACGGAACAAATAATACTTGCAATACATGAAACCCAAAGATTATTAGAAATGTCTCTCAATGGGGTTAAATTTCTGACCCTATAATTGGTGAAAATTACTCTTAGTTCTGAGAAACAAACACAAATTCTCCTTTGGGCCCATGGCAAAGATGTGCCAGAAGAGAAGTCACCCAGCAGAAGCGATGGCATCATCCGGGAAGGACAGATTTAAATTCTGGTGGGGTTTGATGGACGCCTCACAAGTGGAGACTGCCTATAACAAGCACTGAGCCCCCCATTTAGCATAGTATTTATGCACATCTTAACTTTAAGCACACGAGTGTTTTAATTGACTTCAGAGTGACTACTTATTTGCTAACAGCAAGTTAGGTACATGGTTTTTAACAATGGTGCAAGCAGAAACCATTTCATACCACTACGGACAGGGGTGGGGGCACCAGCTGAGATGAGGGGAGGAGGGAGAGAAAAGCCTCAGACCTGAAGCCTCCACACCCTCCCTGTCTCCTCCCCATGAACCATGGGATGGGTGGAGATGGGAGTGTCCCCTTTATCCTCCTCCTGCAGTATTGCAGACTTTGAACCACACTTATGCCAGAGAAGCTGCCTTCATTTGGCTGCCCAACGGCCCCACATTTTGCTCCTTCCAAGTTTTTCTGGTAAAGAAGTTCCATCTCGCTGGTCTGTTGTGCTGAACTTCTGGGTTTTATGTAGCTTGTTTAATTAGTTCCACACATTCCCGACCCTCTCCCCCACTAGTGTAGGTCTGCCCAGATAACTTTCAAACCCTCAGCAGAGGGGGTTATACACAGTTTGCACTGTTCTTCCCCAATCCTGCTTGATTTGCTGCTTTCAGCCTAGCACCCAGACACTGGATTTCCCTGATGGAAAGTGAATCTGGCCCATACAGTACAGCAAATAACTAAAATCTCCATAACACATGACTTACTATACGTGCTTTCTTTTATTGCGAATTCCTTGAGGCGAGAGCCAAATTCATTGGGAACACGGAGCGATAGGACTTTCTTCTGCATTCTTGTGGATTTCCTAACCAGAAAGATCTATCAGGAGGGGGAATAAAGTAAGAATTTAGACTTCTTTGCAACAGATGCTTTTCAAAGATTTTAAGGTCATTACAACCATCTAAATCTGACCTCCTGCATAACAAAGGCCACAGAACTTTCTCAAAATTCCTAGAGCAGAGCTGTTACAAAAATCATCCAATCTTGATATAAAAGTAGTCAGTGATGGAGCATCCACCATGACCTTTGGTAAATTCTCCCATTGTTAATTACTCTCACCATTCAAAAGGTGTACCTCAGTTCCAGTCTACAGTCAACTTCCAGCCACTAGATCATTTTATACCTTTTTCCGATAGATCGAAGAGACTATTATTAAATATTGGTTTTCCATGTAGCTGCACGGAGCTCAAATCTATTTAGCTTATCACTACAGGCATGTTTTGGAATCCTTTAATGATTCTCGTGGCTCTTCTCTAAAGCCTGTCCAGTTTCTCAAGTCATTCTTGAACTGCAGGTTCCTGGATACAGTATTCTAAAAGTAGTCATACAATCACAGGGTTGGAAGAGACCTCAGGAGGTCATCGAGTCCAACCCCCTGCCCAAAGGAGGACCAATCCCAACTCAATCATCCCAGCCAGGGCTTTATCCAGCTGGGACTTAAAAACCTCTAGGGATGGAGATTCCACCTCCTCCCTAGGTAAACCATTTCAGTACTTCACCTCTCTCCCAAGGAAATAGTTTTTCCTAATATCCAACCTAGACCTCCCACACTGCAACTGGAGATCATTGCTCCTCAGTCTGTCACCTGTCACTACTGAGAACAGCCTCTCTCCATCCTCTTTGGAACCTCCCACTTCAGGCAGTTGAAGGCTGCTATCGAAAGTGACAAATACAGAGGAAAAATAACTTGTCTACACCTATTCAAGATTCCCCCATTTGTGCATCCCAGGGTTGCATTAATTTTTTTTTTTTTTGGGCTACAGGGTCACGCTGGGAGCTCATGTTCAGCTGATTATCCTCCACCACCTTTCTAGCTTCCTCTTCATCACTAACTTGTGTTCTTACATTCATTAACTTAATCGTGGAATTAAACTACATCTTTTAGAAAGATCCTATCTTCATTTTAAAAGACAAAGTGACAGAGTACCCACTGCATCTATCTGTATGCTGTTTCAATGCTTAATTACTAAGGCTCTGTTTTAGTCGTGGGCATTTTTAATAGAAGTCATGAACAGGTCACAGGCACTAAACAAAAATTCATAGCTTGTGCCCTATGCATGATGTTTGTTATCCATCCCTGAGTGAATCTTAGGGGGCGGCAGGGTTCCCTCCAAAGTGCGTACCTGTGCACAAATTCTAAACCCGCCCACCTCCTTCCCAGAGCCGCACAGTAACGCTCACCTTCCTGCTGGACCTGGAAGGCGAGTGGCTTGGCTGCTCTGGCGGATGGGGAAGGGGAGGAGGAAGTGGCAGCTGCTCTGCTCCAGTGGGCTGGGGCCACGTGGGAAAAGGCTGCTCTGGCAGTCGGGGCCAGGCTTGGGGCCATGTGGGGTTTAGTTGTTCGGGTTGCTCGGGCAGCAAGGGCCATATGAGAATGGTTGCTCTGCTCCAGGAGACTGGGGCCACGTGAGGAGCAGCTGCTCTGCTCCGGGGGACTGGGGCCAGGGCCACATGAGGAGTGGCTGCTCTGCTCCGGGGGGTTGGGGCCAGGGCCACATGGGGAGTCCCCTGCAGGAGCAGCATCAGCTGTTCCCTTGCTCTCTAGGAGAAGCTGCTGCTACTGCCGCTCCTGCCTGGAAGCATCTCCTAGAGAGCAACGGAACAGCTGATGTGTCGGTCCCATGGTCGGGACCATGTGTCGGTCCCGTTTAGGTCGGATGACAGGGACTCTACTATATTTCTGGCTTAAATACTTGTTTTTAAAAGTGGGAATGTTTTGTATTTATACATATTAAAGAACATTTAATTGTATGGACATTGAAGAAAGTATTTAAAAAATCTGCTTCCCAGGCAGTAGGATCCCTTTTTCACTGTTACTCTGACAACTGGCATTACTGTCCTGAACCGACTACCCTCAGGAATCTAAATCCTGAAACCTTCTCTTACAAAAACGGGGGCTGACATTCTGTGCTGAGCCAGCAGGAGGCTTGCAGCGGGTGCAGAAGGGAGGTGTTCTCTGCTTTCTCTCACTGAATTTTCTTTCTTGCTATTTCCGGGCTTAGTTCAATGTCTTATGAGCAATTGGTGCATGTGTAGTAAAGCAAACCGCCAGCACATGTCAACTTCTGAATAGCCATCTCTTTAGGCATCTATCTACTGTCTCGTATTATGTTCAATAAGGTAGCAGCTGTGATTCTGGGGGAAAAAAAGATTACTGACCCCACTAATGAAGTCAATAGCAAAACTCCTGTTCACATCAGTGTGGTCGAGGTTTCATATCTGAGATGAAATGGCCGACGGATGGATGTGGCTTTGGGGAGAGAGTAAGTGTTGTTTGAAAATGGCTATTTCCACATGGTTCATTATTATTATTCCTGTATAGCTGGTGCTCATGTCAGGATTTTACATCTGGAGGGCGCTGCATCTCTCTAGACGCTGACTCTCTCAGTGGAGCGCAACAGGCCCCCAGCACCACTGCAGAGGGGGGAAAGGAGCGCCCTGCCCCAGATGCCTCCTGCCTGTGCCAGTGGGTGTCCATGCTACTTGTGCAGCATTACGCAGTGTGGCCAACTGGCCATGCAAAGGAGAAATCTGGGCAAGACACTCCCTGTGCAAGGAGACACCCTGCAGCTCCACATACAGAGGCATGGAGGTGGCCCTGGGGACCTCTCACCTGCTAGCCAGGAGTCACGTCACACCACTGGATGCCCTAGAACCATTTTGCACTCTAGTGGCGCAAAGGTGCCCTAAAAGCAGTGATCTCACTTCCCTACTTGGGCCTTAGCCCCAGTGCAGATAGGGGACACCATAGCTTGCTTAGAGCCAATGAAATGGCTTTGTGGTGCTCCCCCCAAAAGCTCACAGCATAGGGGCCTTCTGGAGGAAAACTAGAGCAGTGCCGCACTGACACAAAAATAAGTCACAGTGCTATGACTTCTGTGGAACTGTGGGCAGTACAGAGTTGGAGCAGCCTGGAGGCTCAGCTAACATACAACAGCAGCTGGACTTGCCTCAGGGAAGGTGGAAAGTACAGAAGGCTCAAAGGGGGCTTAGATACATCTTTCACTCTTTCAGCGTTCCTGCTTTGATGTGGTCATGCCTTGGGATCCTAATAAAAGCTGAGATGCTGTAGTTCAAACTGTTCTGCTGGATCATGCTCTTGATATTGCTAGCAAACCCTCCAACGTCCCTTTGGTGTTTTGAATTCCAACAGTAATCATAGGACTGGAAGGGAGCCCGGCTGGGGGTGGATCAGGGAGAGTCCAGCTGGGGGTGGATCAGGGAGAGGACTATAAACAGAGGAAGTTGGCTACTTAAAATTTTGCAGTATTAATTTTCTTTTTACTTGACTTCATATTAAATAAACACTTAAAAGTCATGCACCCTTTTATTTATCGCTTGTTATACTACTCTTCTTCCATAACACTTTAAAGTGTGTGTGTGCGTGTGTAAAATTTGTTAATAATTTGGGTGCCATGGTGACATACATCCAACCAAGCACACATGACCTCAATACAGGTGTACATGGATGGAAAATCTTAGAGGGAACACTGGGGGAGGCAGGAAAGGGGCAGAACAAGGGGTGCCACAGAAGCTCAAGGAGGGGCAGCAGTGCGGGACCCCTGCAGATGCTGGAGGGAGGGGTATTTCAGGGTGGTTGGTAGGGCTGCTGGACTGCCTACCTGGCCCCTTGCCATACTCCTGAAGCGTGACATGTCCTTCCCTTTTCTCCTAGCTCCACGTGCTCTCCCCACCCCAAGCACCTGCTCCACAGCTTCCATTGGTCAGGAACCACGACCAGGGTTTCCTATAGGTGCGTGCCCGTGTAGGCATGCACCAAGAATTTTAGTCCTGCCCACCTTATCAGTAGAGCCATGCAGCTGCAGCCCTAGTGCACCCGGGGGTAAGGCAGCAACTGGGCAGCCACCACATGGCTTGCACGGTGGCTGCTGGAGCTGAAGCCTGGCCCACGGAATTAAAAATAGCACTGTGGCTCCGGCTCCAGTCCTGGAACATGGGGCAACCGCCCATCACATAGCCCAGCCCCTGAGAGCAGCTATGGCTGTGTGGCATCTCCTAGGGCCAGGACCACAGTCCTAAAAATAGCACCACAGCCCCAGCTTGAGTCCCAGTACACAGGGCATGCTCCCCTCCCTGTGTTTATAAGGGGCTTTTAATCAAGAAAGAAACTAACTTTGGTTAAGCAGATCCCTTTGCAGGCTTAGGGCAGAAGGAAGAAGAGGTGTTATCAGAGAGCCAAATAAGGCTCCTGAATTAACACACTGCATCTAATCCAGCTTCAGCTCAGGCTAGAGAGGTCTGAAGTCCCCAAGGCCCATACACTGGTCAACAATTAATGGTATGAAGCAGCAGACTCCACCCTGTCCGCTCCCATTTCTGCCAAGCCCCCATTGGGGTGCACCTGGAGAAGTAACTGTCTCCCTCACATTTACACTAGCTGGGAGCTCTCTCACCTTGGGAGAATTTTCAGCTGATCTTAATTAGGCCAGGTCTATACTAAAGGGGAAGGTCAAATTAAGATATGCAACTCTAGCTACGTACCTTAATTCGAGTTGATGCACCTTAATTCAAGTTTTCGTGCTGCTCCACAGCAGGACACTGATGGGAGTGAATGCTCCTATCAGTTTCCCTTACTCCTTGCGAGGAGCAGGAGTACCAGCATTGACAAGGGTGCCCTGTGAGTTCAAGTTAGCAGGTCTTTACTAGATCTACTAAATAGACCTCTGGAAGGTCCATTGCGTCAACATCAATCTTCCATTTAGTGAAGACATAGCCTTAGGCCCGGGTCTAGCCCAGAAAAGTTCCTCCTCTGTGTCCGATCAATGGAGAACATGAATCTGCTACAGCACCAGCTAGAGAGGCAGGGCGCCATACAGATCAGCTCACGCTTTTGGCCCTAGTTCAATCCAGAGAGCATCAGCCAAGATGCTGATGATCACATTATGGAGATGGCTCATCCAAGATTCTAACTCTGTGGCTCTGAGGGATGATTCTCCTTTTATCAGAGGAAGTATGTAACTTGCTGCTGAACGTGTGCAACATTAGGAAGAGAGAGTTTAAATATGAAAACATTTAAGATTTGTCTCTTACTCCAGGGGGCTGGGACTGCAGAATTTCCACGGCTTCAGAGTCATTCAGGCCAAGCTGCAGCCACACGGGATGGGTGTGGAGAAGTTTATCTAGTATGCTGAGTTTACTGGAGAGACTGTCATAGCCAGAATCCCGGGGACAGCCTTTTACATCCTTTTTCTCAGGACAGGTATTATCCATGTCGTTAAGCAGGCTACGAGGAAGAGAATGAAACAATTAAAATATAGGCAAGTACATTTCTCAAAGGACAAACCATTCTGCAAACAGGGAATTCTCGTAACGACAATTAGCCCTACTCAACTGGGGGGCTCGGAGGGGGTGAATTTTACTCGTGTAAGCATAGCAACGTTAACTCTAGAAGAAGCAGCATTGCAGCCATCAGCAATGCACTGCTTGCTTATGAGACGATGCCTAAAGGACGTCAAGGGAGAATGCTTGCGTCAAGGGAGATGCATATACATTAATGTACCGTATTTTCCGGCGTATAAGGCGACTGGGCGTATAAGACGACCCCCTAATTTTTTAATTAAAAGATAGGGTTTCATCTTATATCCCAGCGCCCCTCCGCCTCCCTGGCTTTTGCTCCCGGTGTCCCTGGTCTGCTGGAGACGGTCCCCAGCAGACCAGAGGCATGCTTGCGTCAAGGGAGATGCATATACATTAATGTACCGTATTTTCCGGCGTATAAGGCGACTGGGCGTATAAGACGACCCCCTAATTTTTTAATTAAAAGATAGGGTTTCATCTTATATCCCAGCGCCCCTCCGCCTCCCTGGCTTTTGCTCCCGGTGTCCCTGGTCTGCTGGAGACGGTCCCCAGCAGACCAGAGGCACCGGGAGCAATGTATACCGGGCGTACAAGACGACCCCCGATTTTTGGGGGATGTTTTTTAACATCAAAAGTCGTCTTGTACGCCGGAATATACGGTATCCTAGCTTCCCACTTCTTTACCAGTGGGTTAAATACACAGGTCATACACGCCTTCTGTGCTATATGTAAGAAGGTTAAACATGACAATCACTTATTTTAAGTCAGAGAATGTTTATGAGAAGCTCTCGCCACACAAACCATTCCACATGCCATGGTACAAGTATCCACACCTCCATGATCTAGATACACAAAATTAAGTTTCAGAAGCTCATTGCAGAGTTGGCCTCTCACATGGACACAAAAGATTATGGACACAGCAGTTGAAAGAGCCTTTCTACCCAGGCCAAAGGCTCTCTCTGATTTACATAAACTAATGCTTCAGAGGAGGATCAGCACCAGTTCATCTTATCAACCCCACACAAGTAAATTGGGAATAAAATCTGTCCCTTTAAAAAAATAACATTCCCTACTGGTTTTCTTGATGGCAGATAGAAGGAAGACACACTAGTCATGTGTCAACTGTGGCTATAGTACTAACATTCCGGAAGACCAGCTGAAAAATGTCTATACAACTGGCAAGTCATTTATGTACAGCTAATTTCACCAACAGGACAGTACGGGTCAAATCCAGCCAGCCTTTCACACCACTAGAAAGCACTTTCTCCTTTACACTAAGGCAGTGTAAATGAGAATCAAGCGCTGCTTCTTTGCATTTTCTTTAATAAATGGTTCACAAATCAAAGGAATAAGTTCTGTTCCAGAGAGAAAGGAGTTACAGATATACAGTCTAAACTGGATAGGTGCTGGAAACTCCTGGGGACATGGCCTTGTTATGTACCGATTCTTTGAAAACAACAGTACCTTAACAATGAACAGAAAGTCAAAAGGGTATTTATTTTAAACATTGATAATAAAAAGTTGCTGCAGCATACATTGTGCAATAGCAGCAAATGAAATTTAATACATTCAAAATTATTTAATAACTCTCTGTTTTATAATAATATCTTCTGGTGATATCCAAGTCAATAGAATATGTCAAGTAAAACAGAAAACCAAAATAGAAAATCAAAAACAAATACAAATTTGCATGGAAGTTCTGTAGGTTTTGCACTAATTATTTTCAAATCCCGCTAAAAAGACTTATGATGAAACCTAAGGAGACTATAACACACATGGGCATTAAAGAAAACCAAACATTTTGCCTAATTTTTTTAGTGCTCATGAAACCCTAATTATGAAGGAAATACTTGAAGGTAAGAGCAGAAACAAACGATCAGCTGTGCCCTAACCACAATTAATTCGTGGCAATGAATACACAGCACAGGTTGAAACTTGTAATCAGTATGATTTACAGCCTGTAAGCAGAGGGTTGGAATGTGTGTCCACGTGCATGCGCATACCCCCAAAGCCCAATGTGTCTGTTTCCCCTCAGACGGTCAGCAACTGTGGGGTTGTTAGTTAGTTTCTCAATCCTCTCTGGATCTCTTGCTTTGACCCTGTAACCTGCATTCCTGACTCTGGTCTTTTCATTTTTAATCCCCCATCATATGTTCATTTCTGGCCTCTGCAGCCCTCTTTCTCCTTTAGTTGCTTTTGTGATCTCTGCCCGCCATTGCTTAACTTAAGATCAGATGAACTGTTCAGGCATTATCATTACAGACCACCTCCTTATAGATTACGTGATCTGATGGAGAGAAATAATTTAGTTTTGTTAGTCTCAGAAGTGATGGAAAAAATCAAAGTAAAATAACAAGGATTCTGTTGCAATTAGCACCCATGTCTAAGCATGCTGGACTTTGGAAATCAAAATTAGTTTTTGGGCAGTGAAACCAAGAAAACCTCACTGGGAATCTCATCAGAACTACAGAAATGGAAACTGACCAGTGTTGGTTTTAAAACACCTGCAGTTAGAAAACTAATATGAGATCAGTGATATCTAAGAAAGAGACACTTTTTCAAGAGAGGGCACAGAAGAACAGCTGTTCCCTTATACAAAATGGGGATTATAGAATCTTTAAGGGTTCTTGCCCGTTCCTAGGCCAAGACCCTTGCAGAAAACTGTCTTCTCCGAACAGGAGAGCAAGACAGGGACAACCCAAATGTGGGAGATCTGGCTGTTTATATAACAATGAGTTTAATCCACAAAGGTTAGGAAATTCAGAGCTGAGTCCTTACTGTTCCCTAGGACTGTAGCAAACAGAATGGTGGGTCTGAATCCCAGTTACACTAAGGTCCTTTATATCACCTAGGCAGCACAAAAGAACTTTAAAGCGATCTTTACATTTAATCCATGATCACTATAAGTCTGTGGTAATAACTGCACCTACAAATTTATCCGAATTGTGAGCTCAACTGTAAAAAGTATGTGATATTTGATTAACTTTCACAGTAATCTATAACAAACGTTGACAGGAAAAGGTACAAAAGGGAGACTAAAGTAATCTAAATTAAACAAAGAAACCTACTGATATAACTCAACAAAAGGGATGTAAGCGACTAATTGACTAGCGACTAACCAACCCATCAGAAAGAGGTAGCGGGGGAGGGGGAAGAGGTGGTGGTGCTGGGGGGAGCCAGCTTAAAAGCCGGTTCCCCCCAGCTCCATTGGAGGGGGCAGGGGTGAAACGGAAGTGTTCCATCTTTGAAACATACAAGAGTCCCCGCTGGAGATTTTGTACATTTCAAAGCAGAAGCGCTGCATGGAGCCTGGGGCCAGAGGGACTCAGGAAATCCCCTGTTGGTCCGGGGCTCCACACACAGTGTTTCAATCTTTGAAATGCACAAGAGCCCCTGCTGGGGTTCTTGTACATTTCAAAGGAGGAACGCTGCAGGGCACTTCTGCCTTTGAGATGTAGCAACAGCCGGGTGGGCTCTTATCAACTATTCGATTAATCTAATTTTAACATCCTCTCTCAACGACTGTATTGAAATCATGCTTGGTAAAAACACAAGACGTGGAACTGGAAAGTAATGAATCAGATGAATGTATATTAAGTCAAATTGGGGCACAAATAATAAGAGGATGGGCTATTCCATCCATCACTACATTTCTGGATCCTTTAAAAAAAACTTCAAGGAGAAAAAAAATGGAATAGACAAAGGCTACTGGAGGCATCATTTCTGCCACACCCACTGTCTCCTGGGTTCACAGAACTTCTTTGTCCCAATCCTGAGCAATGCCCTGATCAGACCAGGCCACACAAAGAGATGCAGATGACATCTCCACCCAGAGATGACATTGTGGGAAGAAGGGGACGAGTGAGAAGAGGTTTGCTGCTTGGTTTGTACTAAGCATGCTCAGTAACATTGCTGAAGCAGTCTGCCCTCAAATCTACCCCCACCCCCAATCATAGGCATGGGTCACAACGCCACCCCTACAAGCTGCAGCAGAATCCCAAGCACCACCTAAGGTAAAATGAGTTCAGACTTTTACTAAAGTAGCAGAAACAGCTCTAGCTCATACCAACTAACTTCTTTTACCCAAAAGAACAGCTATTACACTCTTTGAAGATTGTCAAACAAGAGGGCTTTTCCCCTTTAGCTGAGGAAGTATTAAAATGTAAGTAATAATTAGTGTTTGAAATGTCAAGTGTTTCCCCTTCATTTCTTTCCCTTTAATAAAAAGATGTTAACAGGTGTGTTTGCCATACTGTACTAAGCAGGCTGAGGTCTCTGTATACTGAACTGTGAACCTTATTTAACTCTATTTAATACAGGACAGCGACTGTGTTATGCTAACACCTTTGAGCCATTTATTCCTTACACAACAGATCTCATTGCACTGCCAGAATGGTGTCCAAACAGCCGTGGCGTAAATGGGAATTAGGTCCCGTATCTGTAGTCATAAATCTTAAACTCTCTCTGCCCTGCAAAGACAGAGGGTCCCCCCCTTTTTTAAACAGGAGCTCATGGTTATCTATAGACTTCAACCTGCAGGCTAGGAAATGTTCTATAGGAAGGACATACAAAAGGGCCACTACTGACTGTGTGTGTTTCAGAGACATTGCTTATGCTGCTCTAATTGTAGTTTCAATAAATGAGCTGCTGTCTCCTAAGGTCTTATAAGGGCATGTCATCACTGCCTCACAATTCAGAGTTTAGGGGTATGAAGTGCAACACACATTGAAGAGCTGCACTGGAACTCCCCTGTGTGGACACTGCAGGAATGAACTAGACCAGGCCATTAGAAGAGGACTGTTAGTGTGAACTAGGAACCTTTTAGTTCATGCCTGCATTGTCCACATGGGGGAGTTACAACAAAGCACTTTGGTGTTCATGGCTATTCAACCCCCCCCCCCAAAGGCTGAACTGCTAGGCAGTTTAGACATGCCCTAAGTCCAAAGTCAGGATGTTAAATTCCATTTAATTAGTTAACTAGTTAAACTTAGTATTTAACCAGTTAAGTGATTAAATGGGGTCGGGTGGGAGAAGAAAGCGTTCCAGAGCACTGGGCCTGCCCTGGCCAGGCTGCAGCAGCCCCCACGCCACGGGCAGGGGCAGTTCCAGCCCAGCTGCTTACGCCCCCACTTGGGCTGCCAGCTTCAAGCCCGTAGCCTTGTGCAGGACTGAAGTGGCAGCAGGAGAAGGCGGAAGAAGAAGCGGAGGCCTGCGGACTCCCCACCCTCACTGCCGCTTTCACACCCCTCCCCTACGAGGCTGCCAGCTGCTCCCAGCCTGTGAAGATGCACCCCTGCAATGCCAGAGCTGCCCTCCACCCATGGGGACCGTTCCCATTACCTGTCCACACCCCTAGTCTAAAGCCTTCTGTGAAGATTTGCTTCAATGACAGCTATCGATGTAGCTGTACTGGTCCTACCTGGAGTGTTGTGAGAAAATAACTGTTTTCACTAGCGCTCTGCTAGGGGGCAGCGTGGATGAGTGGGGTTATAGCAAGGCCCCTGCTATGACAATCCCTAAGAGGACAGTGGAGCTTTCCCTCTTCAACATGCACAGAAAACACATGGAGGCTGTTCCTTACACTGCACCTTAAGGTTATGTCTCACTGCAGAGCTAACTCGGTGATCAGCAGGTTTGCCTAGCCCAGATGTGAGCAGGCACACTGAAAGGAAAGCAGCCTGCCTGTCCTGAAGCAAGCAGACTTTTAACAGCCTCGTCAGCACCAAAGCTGCCAGGGTTTCTTTTCGACCTGGTGTTCGAGTTGAAAACTGAACACCTGGCAACTCTAGACCAATCCCACAACTGGTTTTCAGGCCACTCTTACTTTGGCTCCACTCCACAGATGCTTTAATACTAGAATGACGGGTACCATGGTCTCTAGTTGGAGACAAGAAAAAGGCCATGTCTTGAGTCTGACTCTGGGACCCTCACACTTCCCTGACAGTGCAGTGTAAGGAAGACCTGCCACCACACCTCCTCAACGGGACTTCACGCAAATGGCAAAGGCCTGCACAGCAGTCAGTGCAGCAACTGGCTGCGTAACTTTCCACTGTAGACAGCAAATTCCTCACACAACAGTGGTGATGTGCATTCCCCCATCCTGTTCCTCTCCCATCCAACTGGGTCAGGACAAGGTTGGGGAAAGTAGGAGGAGAGAGGGAACAGAGCTGCAGACGTGACTGCTTCCTCTCCTCCACTCAGGAAGGACTGCATGCTGCTAGGATTGGAAGGAAATGGAAGGGGCCTAGTGATTGAAAACAAAAACAAATCAGATGACTATGAACCATATAGCTTAGAATACGACATTACGAAAACACGTTACAAAGTGGCTGTGACAAATGTAAATAGGGTTGCCAGGTGTCCAGTATTGGACCGGACAGCCCAGTATTTGAGGCATGTGTCCATTTTTTTTTAAAAACACTCAACAACTTTTGGGGTGTGTTTGTTTTTTTTCTTCTCAGCCAATTTTTTCCACGTCGTGTTCAGTATTTTTTGTGAAACTATCTGGCAACCCTAAATGTAAACCACGTTTAGACATAATGCTTCTGCTCTTTATCAGTTTTAAAAAAACCCTGCATGAGACTCCATTTGTAAGAGGCAGGGCCAAATTCAGCCTTCTCAGGACAATACTGAGGAGAGAGAACTGGCTGTCAGCAGCAGCCAAACGGAAGACCCCTGAGCAGTGCAGTAGGTACAAAGCAGGATGTCTTAGAGGGCATGGAGAGCAATGAGTGCCCCATCCTGTTACTGTAACAAAGTACAGTTTGCCCTTCCCCCTCAAGCCTGCAGAATAAAGGTAGCCACCGATCAAAGGGGTAGGGCAACACTAGTTACCCTCCCCCAAGATGCTGATAACATCTCTAAGGCCACATAACTGCTGAAATGAATGAAAGCTAAAACTTCAATTTGAACATCTTGTCAGAGCTAGGTTTAGAACATAACTAGAGGCACCAGCAGCCAGGTACCTGAAAACCACACACACAGACCTCGGTTTCATGATCATTGAATTTGAATCCAGAGGACAAGTTAAAAGTGCCTGAATGCGCACCTTAACAGAAATGGCAACTCTGTAACTACAGAGATACTTATGGGTATGCAATAAGAAGTCATTTCACTACCTTATAAAAGACCACATGGATGAGAAAATGTTTTACTGATCTGATAAAAAAAAAGATATCTCATCCACCTCATGCCTCTAATGTACTGGAATCAACACAGTAACAACAACAGGGCATATTATAAAAGATTAGTTAGTTAGAAACCAACCTATTTACTCAGGTTAAACAGAAGCTCTGAATCTGTTGCTTCCCTTTTACGGCTAATATTTCACCTTAATGGAGTGTATTTCTAGATCTCAGGATTGCTTAAAAAAATACATTAAAAAAGAAAAGAAAATAGCTATGGGCCTAATATTTACCAGACAATATCTATTTCACTAACTTTCCAACAGAAAGCAACGGATTTAGTTTAACCATTACAACAACAGTTACTCTGATTCATTTAAAAAGTGTCAGAACTTTATTTGTACTGCAACATCTTTCTTTAGCCTTCCCAAATTTCGACAGCCTACTGTTCTTACATTTAAAGAAATTTTAAACAAACTTCACATACATCTCACAAATACTTTAATACAATAGTCATTTTATAGCAGTCCATATTTTACTACTACTAAACTGTGAAGGCAAAAACAGTCACAGGTTATTGAATGAAAGTTCCACTGAATATTCACAAAGCTGACTGAAGCAATGAATACTTTTAACATGTACAATGTAAACGCTAGATGCATTTCTACAGCCAGCAGTAATATGTTGAGTTGTTTCTGCATCTGAAAGTGCATCTGTTTCCTCATAAACAACAAAAACCTAGGAACTGTGAGTGCATAAAGTTCAACTGCTTCTGAAAGAAATTAAAAACATACATACAACTTAATCAACAGACACGCCTGCTGCCCACAGGCAAACACCTTCATTACCTACAATCTTTTGTATTCGTAGGAGGAAAACTAATGACTATGACAGAAATTTCACCTTCCTGAATAAAGCAGTGCAATGAAAACAGTCTTGTCATTTTACATTGCCAGGATCTATTATATTATACTTTTTAATCACCTTTGTGAAACAGTGGATCCATCTTCCAGCATGAGATCTGTCTGTACCATCTCTTGTTTCAATTCTCCAATTTCTGAGGCAATTGTGTCAATGAGCTAGACAGGGACAAAAATAGTATGACGTCAAGCAAGTGGAAGAGGCGTGGAAACAGAATGGACAAGTCGAGTCACTAGAGATTACAAACCCTTTCTCCCCCTCCCCCCATTCTATTTGGACTTCCCTTATAATAGAAAAAGGGCAAGGGACAGACTGTGCTTGTTCTTGGAGGCAGGACAATTGAAATTTAACAATAGTATTTAACATTCCCAAAAAATAAGATCAGATTATTCTTTTAATTAGTTATATTAATACCATAGTTTCAACAGGCATGGACATAGTAAGGTATTGATTTTTAAAAAATGGCTTGACTACTCTAACATTCAATTCTACAATTTAAAAAAAAACATAAAACATTTTAAAAACCAAAAATCTTCAAAATATATTTCTACAAAACCATATTTTCAAGATTCTTTGGTAAAAAATAAATATATCTGCAGAAATGAAAGAACAATTATTTTTCATACTAACTTCTGGACTGAAGCCAAACAAACCATATTAGTTAAAGAATTCTCTGTTCCAGTATTTTAACCAAGAGATCAGAACTAGACTTCAGTTTACGGTTAGTACGAAATCTCAGTGACTAAGCAACTATGAGAATTATGGCATAAATGAATCAATAAGACCAGCAGAATTAAGCCCCTTGTACTTAGAACTCTGCATGGATACAAAATTTTGTATCAGTATCTATATCCGTAAAAATGAGTTGCAGGTATAAAATGGATATACACAAATTTCCAGAACTCTGCATGTGCTTCCCATAGCAATAGCACTGAAGAGTGTTTGGTACATGATGCATGTGAGATGGAAAATACACAGAAGTCAAATTTTAACAAAAATAAAGTAGCCAAGAGTAAGCAATAATAATAATAAAAAAAACCCTACACATCCCCAAAAGATGGAACAGAACAGGCAATCATCTTGTGATTCATCCCATCACCCAATTCCAGCCCTGACAAACAGAGGTTAGGGACACCATCCACTGATGCTCTCCCCTTGCTCCCTCAGACCTTCATTGTGCAACACCTACTAAATAGTCATCATGAAACTTTGGCGACTATCACACGAACTGCAAATAACTGAAACCAAAGGGTTTTCAATGGAGCCACCCTCCATCCACATATTTTAGTCCAGCAGTTGACATACCTGAGTTGTCTAACTCTGCACTTGAAAAAACTACCCTTCTGTCATACAGATGTTGTCCCCAGCTAACCTTTTCTTAGCTGCATTAGAAGGGAGTAAAACACTTTTTCTGAATACACCCAGAATACATGGCTGTACAGTCCCTTTTCAGAGCAGAACCATACTGAGGTCTTTCAAAACATTTAAACTTTGCACAAGGATCTTGGTATGTGTTTATAGCCTCCTATACCAGGTCCCAATACTGTCAACGCCATTACTGCAGTCAGTCTGTTAGTAAGATGGCCTAGAACAGGGCTACTCAACATGGGGTCCGTGGGCTGCACGCGGCCCACAGTCCATTTGTTTGCAACCCACAGTGCAGTTTGGGTTTACGTGGGACTCAATACGCGGCCCGTGGGTGGGATCCTTTGAACATGGCCTCCACTGGGAACACGCTCCACAATGGCGAGTCAATAAAATGGTCTTCTGTTGATATGCGTTTTCGTAGTTCAATTCCTGGACTGTCATTGCTCATTAAAAGTGCTGTCATATGGGTGGAAATTGGGTAAATATTGCATTTTATTAATATCAGAAGAACTGACTTAAATGGGGCCTCTGTGTTGTGTATCTTGCCTTAATCTTTGTATTCATGTCCTTCAATGGGAAAGAAGTGACTTGCATAAGTATTTGCATGTATATGCAACCACACTTAAGCTGCGGCCCTCGGCATGTGCTGTGAATATCATTGTAGCCCCCGGGGCTTCCAAGTTGAGTAGAACTTCCAAGTGTAATTACAATTTGTATCACTATTTTTAAAACCACGCTAGTCAGTGGGAGCAAAGGATGTGCAGCCATATTTGAGTCAAATTTCTCTAACAGACTAACTTTTAGTCCCTCACTTTTGAATTGTTAGCCTTTATTTTCAATTGCAAGAAACATTCAAAAAGAGATGGAACGTTCAGACTGAGTCAAATTATTGAAGTTGAGGTTTTATATACAAGTAGAAAAGTAAAATAATTACAGTGAAACCTTTGTTATCCGGCACTCTGTAAACCAGAAAACTTTGTTAATCGGCATTGCCCCCAGCCACAATACTGTCACATCTTTCGGCGCACAGGCCTGGCTTGGTTTACAATGATTAGCTTAACAATTTTTTATTTAAGTAGTACTAATCATCTTTAACTCAAAATAGAAATGGGAGACCAACTGCCTCACACTACAAAACTACCAATATTAAAAACTTGAGTTTTATTTTTGTCCATTGGTTTTTCCTAGGTTGATGGGACCCTCAGATAACCAGAATTTTTAGTTAATCAGAATGCCCTAATCTCCAAGCATGCTAGATAACACAGGTTTTACTGTATTGTGTTAGTTTTAGAGGGATAGACTCAGCTTGGAGAGGAAGGAAGGTAGAAAGAAATACCACTCAGTAGTTTCTGAGTTTATAGGAATTCAAATAAGTGACTCACAAATTATAGCTAGGAAGAGTTACCTAGTGTTGCTCGATTCCTTAACTCAGAGAGGTGGGGGGAAAGAACCCTATTTTGGGTTGGGGGCCACTGACCCACAGAAAAAAAAATCAGTCGGGGGCCACACACAAGTTAGAAGAAAAAACACACAAATACACCCCCCCCCCCAAAATAACCTCACTAACGTGGCCTCCCAATTGAGAAGCAGAAAGACACTCCTGACATTTCCCTTGCACACCAGAGCCTGGGGGAGCCAGGCTAGTAGATTTTATGGGGCAGTGGGGGAGCGAGGGCTAGAGTGCCACCGTGGGTTCTCCAATGCTAAGGGGGAACTCTGAGCCTTGAGGGGACAGATCCAGGCAAGCCAGGGGCTGCATCTGGCCCCCGGGCCTTAGGTTCCCCACCCCTGCCTTAATTCATTTTTGTTTTTAGAAAACAAAATGAAATGTCCCATGCTTCATTTAAATCATTTCTCTGGGGTGGGGCTGGAGAGGAGGGGTTCAGGATGTAGGCTGTCCCAGGGAGAGAGGACTACTCCAGTCCTCTGTCGCTGCAGCAGCTTGGGACCAGGTAAGAAGCACCTGTCCATGGCCGCTGCAGCTCCAACGGCCACAGCCAGGTTGGAGGGCAGTCTGTCTCTGTGTCTCATACATAGTAGACAGCTGTCCCTTTCTCCACCACTGCCCCCTGCTCGCCCAGTGGGATCATAGCTGTTCTGGTCCCCATTCCTGGTCCCTTGCTCTCCTTCCCCCCACTCCTCTGTGGTAATTCTACAGCAGGGGCAAGCAAGATTCAGCCTGTAGGCCGCATCGGGCCTGCCAAGTCTTTTAATCCAGCCCATTCCTGCAGCATGGAACGGCGCCGCTCACAGTAGCTAGCTGCTCCCTGTGGCTCTCCACACTGTGCGGAAGGTGAAAGGGAAGCTTTGTGTGCTGTCCCAATCCCCCCAAAAAACTCTCTGCTCCTATTGGCTGGAAACTGGCCAATGGAAGCTGAGAGAATAGCTGGGGGGAAGGCAGTGCACCACAATTTCTCAGCTTTCTTGAAACATGGTGCCCAGAACTGGACACAATACTCCAGCTGAGGCCACCCTGTAATAGTGGGGAAAAGCAGGGTAGGCCTTGATTGACCTCGGCTATGAGAATAAGTGATCCCTGTGCTTTCCATTACCATAGACTCGACACACCTAATAATCTTTAATGCATCCTGCAAAGAAGAGAAATGCTATCTCACGATGATAAAAAATTGTGTAATAGGGTAACTGTGTAACGGTTGAAAATCTCAGCAGTTACATGGTTACCCATGCTAGCCACCTCCCCGGGAGCAGAGCCGGCAACTCTTGCCCACCAGGCTCCTGGGGAGAAGGCTTCATTGCCCTCCTTCAGCGAAGCTTCCTCCCCGGGAGGCTGAGTGTAACTGACATCCATTTATCAGTTAAACCGTTAGCTGTTTACACTCGTACACCCCTAGTGCTATTATCCCCATTTTATAAGTGGGAAACTGAGCCACAGAGACATTAAGTGACAAAAATCACACCGAAGTCTGTGGCGTAAGAGGGAACTGAACCCAGATGGTCATAGTCCCAGGTTAGATTTAATATTTAGATCAACTAAGCAAGAAATTTATATGCCAAGTCCTATAAAATCAGTATGGCTTTCTGCACTTCTCTGGTTTTTATAGGTTGAACCTCTCTAGTCCGGCACCCTTGGAACCAGACTGGAGCCGAACCAGAGAATTTGCTGAAACACAGGAGGTCAATATCGTCTAGCAGCATTACCAACAACTCTGCTGCTTACTGAGCTATTAGAAAACATCAGAAAGAGGCAGCAAGGGAGGGGGGAAAAGAGGAGGAGGTGCTTCAAAGTGGCAGCGCTGCGTGGAGCCTAGGGCCAGACCCTGGGCTTCACACAGCACTGATGCTTTGAAACGCCGCATGCAGCCCAGGGCCAGCTGGAGTGTCCCCAGGCTGCACATGGTGTTTCAAAGTAACAGCGCTGCATGGAGCCTGGGATCAGCTCCCCCACTGACCCTGGGCTCCGTGTGGCACTGCCGCTTTGAAACGCCATGTGGAGCCTGATGCTGTGTTCCCTATTGCATTTCAAAGCAGCAGTACTGCATGGAGCCTACTGTCAGCGGGGGAGTCCCCAGCTGATTCAGGGCTCCACGTGGCACTGCTGCTTTGAAACGCCATAAGGAACACAGGTCCAGCAGGGGTCTGCCCATGCTCCCCACAGCACTTTCGCCTTTGAAGTGTAGCGAAAGCCCTAGGGAGGGCCCTATCCACTAATCGAATAGTCGGTGGAAATTGCATCAACTATTCAATTAGTCAATTAATCAAAATTTAACCTCCTTAGGCCACACCCATGACAAGAGAACATCTGGCTAACTAAAATCCTGCCAGACCACGG